CAAATGAGGTAAACAGTGTACAATTTATGTTTCATACATATTTCTGCATCTAGCATTTAGCCATTCAAGAAAAATGAACTTCTGAGACAGCTTGGCAAGATGAAATTCTGACAGACAGACACACACATCTTCAGCTAAAATTATGTAATGAAATATTGGAAAACCACATTTCAAATTATGCCTGCCTTGTGGACAAGCATCGAATGTTGCTACTAAAGTGACTTACTTCTCTAAGAATAGCATTGCCATCATTTGTCATGACGATTCCACCCATTGGGTCCAACAACATCTGCATGGGAAATTCAGAGGAAACTCTTGTAGTATCCACAAAATGCAAAACAATTTTATGCAGGTTATCTCTTGTGAATTACAGGTGGTCCTTTTAAACTACAGCCATTCGTTGAGTGACCATTAAAAGTTACCACTGCAGTGAAAAAAATATGTCTGGTCCTCACATCGTTGCAGCATCCCCACTATCACATGATCAACATTCAGGCAAATGCATTTACTATGGTGACAACATCCCAGGATCATGTGATTCCATTTGCAAGCTTCCCAGCTGGCTTCTTACAAGCAAAGTCAATGGGGGAAGCCAGATTTGCTTAACAATAGTGTGAAACCCTTAACATCTGCAGTGTTTTACTTAACAACCACAGCAAAAAAAGATTGTAAAAATCAGACATGGCTCACTTGTCTTGCTTAGCAATGGAAATTCTGGTCTTAAAGAGTACCTGTAAACGAAGCAAAAAATAATCCTCACCTTCATCATTGCCCTTGGTCCTAAGCAAGTTCTGATAATATCAGCAATAGTCTAAAAGGAAAAGAGTATAATAAATGTTTATTCAACTGACTTGGAAACTATCCTCTATTTTAATGCCTGTGCAATGGTTAGAGAAGTTGACACATTTTATAAAAGTATATCTATTTATCTGAAAGAAAGCTTTTAAAGTGGGATGAATCACAACATAAAGTTCAGACTTTGTTTTGCACCCAGAACATCTATTGGTCTTGAGATTCTATCAAACTTTAATTTGGCTGAAACAAAATCCAGAAGGATCCTGAAAACATTTTACAGGGAAAGTAGGATAAGGCAGGTATACGTTACAAGCAGAGCATTTGAAATTTTGTAATTACAACTGTGTTTTATATATAACCTACTGAGCAACTGTGAATTTCTTTCAGTGAGATTAGGGCAAAATAAATGCTACAAAACATACTTTCAAAAACTACACATTTTTTTTTAAAATTAAAGAGCCTCTCTCTAAACGTCTCAGTTGACAAAGGTAGCTTTTTTGTTTTTGCCAAGCTCAATGTTACATCTTTTACACCAGAATATCCAAGATTTAGACCAAGATTTCCTCTACAGACATGCAGATTTAGAACAATAAAAATATATATCCTCAAACAAACTCCCATACTCTGTGGAACCTTGATGATAAATGAACACACTCTATTTCTCTCCCATATATTTTCCTGGAATCCATACCTTAGCAGCATTAATATTTCCAGTCTGGACTTTTCTTCCAGACTCACGTTTTGTGTTTTGACCTAAGATGAAAAGAGAAAAGAAAAATAGCTTCATGCTCAAATACTTAAAATTGCTGCTATCTCATCTGAAGAAATAGACCATCATTTAGAAGCTGCAATTACCCAACATACTAAATTGGCTAGGCTTTTATTGATTATTTTGGAGATGGCTTAACCTTGTGGGTCATCCCTGCTACTAGTTGGTTTAGGGTTCCCTATGTTGCAAAGCCAGAAAACCTAATAATTCAATGCATGTAATCATTTAGCAACTGCTGGAAGTTACAATGGCACTGAAAAAAAACGACTAATGATCATTTTTCACACTTCCAACTATTGCAGCATCCCCCAAATACATGATCAAAATTCAGATGCCTGGCAACTGGTTCACATTTATGACAGTTGCAGTGTCCTGTCATGTGAACACCTTTTGCAACGTTTGATAAAATAAAATCGATGGGGAAGACAAATTCACTTAACAACCATATTACTAATTTAACAACTTCAGTGATTCACTTAACAACTATGGCAAGAAAGGGGCAAACGCCACTCAATAGTCTCACTCAGCCACAGAAATTTTGGGCTCAATTGTGGTTGTAAATCTAGGATTACCTGCATTCCTTTTACTCATTCAGTAAAAACATTCAATTAAATAACTGTCTCCAGGCTGCAGATTTGCAGATTACAATTCCAGGAGACTTTGGGAAGGGACTCACAGTTGTCTCTTAACAATTAGCACCTTTCTTAAGGCTCATTTCCCAAACCTTACTCTTATTGTTCTTCCCCTTTAGTGCTGCAAGTTTCTTCTCTGGTGGGACACCCCATATTTCTTCATCCCTTACAGCTAAGTCTGTAGTTCCTCTGCATCCTAACTATTCCCAGAGGATGGGTTATAACAACTCTGAGCTGCTCAGAGTTATTGGTTGAGATGGGCAGCTATGGAAATTTTGACTGCCTGGCCAAATAACAAAATAAAATCACTTCCAGTAAAATTAAAAAGGCAGATGCGTTCACATAATCTGCAGGCCTTGGTTCATGAAGGAGAGGAGGGCAAGAACTTGTCACTGAAAGAATTCACCAAGTAGATCCAGAAAATGGATTACTTCAGGAATCATGAATTAAATGTGCAAAGCCAGCCTGACACTTTCACGAAGACCGATCCCAACAACAATCCTCCTCCTGGCAACCAGGCAAAAGGGTGGAGATTTATTCTCCACAGAGGCCAAGGATATGACAAGAACAGGTGGAAGCTTTACAGAAAGAGATTCAAACTCAAAATAAGAAATTTCCTAACTGGGAGAAGCACTGGAATACAGTCTTCGACTTACAACCACAATTGAGCCCAAAATTTATGTTGCTTGAGTGTTAAATGAGTTTTGCCCCATTTTAAGACCTCCCTGGCTACAATTGGTAAATGAATCACTGCATTTATTAAGTTAGTTAACGTGGCTGTTAAGTGAATCTGTCTTCCCCATTGACCTGGCTTGTCACATGACCCTCAGACACTGCAACCATCGTAACTATGGGTCAATTACCAAGCATCTGAATTTTAACCATGTGACCATGAAGATGTTGCAATGGTCATTAAGTGTGAAAAACAGTCATAAGTCACCTTTTTAGTGCCGTTGTAACTTTGAAGTCACTAAAAGAGTTGTTGTAACTTGAGGACTACTGTATCACCTTTGGAGTACTCCATTACAGGAGGTTTTCAAGCAAAAGTTGGACAGTCATTGGAAAGGTCTGAGGATTCCTACCTGGACAAGGGGTGGACTAGAAGACCTCTAAGACTGCTGAGACCAGTCTCCTAGAAGCTTCATACCTGGCCCTGGTTAGTCATTTACAAGTAGTCCCTGACTTACGATTGAGCCCCAAATTTCTGTTGGTAGGTGAGACAGTTGTTAAATGAATTTGGTCCCATTTTTGACATTTCTTGCCATAATTATTAAGCAAATCACTGCATGTGTTAAATGAATGACATACTTGTTAAGTGAATCCAGCTTCCCCAGGGACTTTGCCTGTCAGGTCGCAAAAGGGGATCACGTGACCCCGGGACACTGGCAACCATCATAAATGTGAGTCAGTTGCCACGTGACCTTGAAGATGCTGCAATGGTCACAAGTGTGAAAAATGGTCATAAGTCACTATTTCAGTGCTGTTGTAACTTCATTAAAGTGAATGGTCACTAAATGAACTGTTGTAAGTTGAGGACTGCCTGTAGTCCTCGGCTTATAACAGTGCATTTAGTGACCGTTCAACTTTACAACAGCCCTGAAAAAAGGGACTTAGGACCATTCTTCACACTTATGACCTCTGTAGCATCCCCGCGATCAGAATTCAGACTTGGTTCACACTTTATGACAGTGATCACCTTTCGACAAGCAAAATCAATGCGGAAGCCAGATTCGCTTAAGTTGTAGTCTCCTACTTGGGCCCTGGGGGGGTTGGACTAGATGACCTTAGAGGTCCCTTCCAACTGTTAATCTGCATTGTCTTACTAACTTATCAGCTGCAGTGATCCGCTTAACAACCGTGGCAAGAAAGGAGGTAAAATGGGGCAAAATTCACTGCCTGGCTTAGCAACTATTGTGGTCGTAAATCGAGGACTAGCTTATTGAATTCCTTTTTCGGTCATTTTTTTCTCTTCCTTTGACAATGTCGACGCCCCTCTAGCTACCCGTTCTTAAGAATGAGGCTAGGAGATACAAGAAGATTTCTGTCGCTTTTTGGGGTGGGGGTCCCCAAAGCAGAGGTATTTGGGGAGGGGGCTTGCCTCGTGGGGAGACTTCCTGGGGAAATTGAACGGAGACCGCGATGAGAGAAAATGGATTTTCCCAGCATGCAGTTGGGGGGAGATCGAGGGAAGGATGCACATGAGGGGCGAACGGAACCCCTCAAAGTAGGACATTCTGAGGGGAAAGTTGAGGGGAAAGATATGAGGGGGTCACTCGGGGAGGGGTTTCTTCTCTGCCCCCCCAGCCCACCTCCCCTCAGACTCACTGAGAACGAGGACGGGGCGCTGGCCCAGCATCTTCCCGGCGAGGCGAGGCAGAAGCCGGCGAGGAACCTTCTGGAGTCGGACAATAAAAGAGCTCGGAGGGCGGGGGAAAAACGCCGTTTCACCGCGCTCGGACAACCTAACCTGCTGGTGGCGGCGACTCCTCCAATCCCCAACGCCACTGCCATCAGGATGACCAATGAAGGCGCATCTGCTCTGCGGGGACTCCGCCCCCTCGCCTGACAGCAAGGTGCGTTGAGAGAGCAACGGATTATTCTCCGCCTCTTCCTCCTCTCCTAGGCAAGCATGCTTCGGCAGAGCGCCGCGGGAGGAAGGCCGCACGCATGCGCAGGCCTCTCGGTCGCGTCCCGCCTGCCTGCGCCTGCGCACAAGGTAGAGCCGTCCGCGCGGGAGGTAGAACGTTGAAAGGCAGGGCAAAGCAAACGCGCTTGCGCACAAGCGGGCGCCAGCGGTTAGGTGGATGAGGCCTTCTCGGCGGCGGCCGCTGCAGTTCGTGCCGCACTTCGTCCCCGGGCGGCCGCACCCGAGAGGCGAGTTTGGGGGAGGCCTCCAAAAGACGGAGACCTTCTGCCACGTCCAAGCCCAGACACGTGTGTCTTTCGCCTCAGGACGGTCTGGACGAGTAACAACCGCCTGGCCTCGCCCTTCATGCAATGAGGCATGACGGGAATTGTAGTCCGCTCTATTCTGACACGTGTTCTATTCTAGTCCAACCCCGCCCAAGATACAGATACAGATTAATAGAGTTTGAAGGGTCCTGGTAGGTCATCTAGGCCAACCCCCTGCCCAAGTAGGAGACCCTACACCATTTCTGACAAATGGCAGTCCAATCTCTTCTTGAAAATCTCAAGTGAATAGAAGAGAAAAGAAGAGAAGGGAATATTGGAAGGAATAGAATAGAAAGTAGATAGAAAATAGAATAGAATTAAATAGAATAGAATAGACGATGGAAAGGACCTTGGAGGTCATCTAGTCCAACACCCACCTATCCCACCCAAGCAGGAGACCTAACACCATTTCTGACAAATGGCAGTCCAATCTCTTCGTACTTGTTTAACAATCACAATTGGGACGTTGGTTGTTAAACGAGGTCTCATTGCTAAGCTCGGTTGTTAAGCAAAGCAGTTGCTAAATGAAACTGCACTTACTTGAACCTACCTTAGCTTTACAAGCCTGCAAAAGTTATAAATGCGAGGATTGGTCATAAGATGACTTTTTAAAGGAGATCTACCTGTACAGCAGTTCCAAATTAAGTTGAGTTTGAATAAGTCAAGGGTCTTCAAACTTGGCAAGTTTTAAGACTTGTGGACTTCAACTCCCAGAATTCCTGAATTCCATGACTGGAGGAGGAGGAATTCTGGGAGTTGAACTCCAGAAGTCTTAAAGCTGTCAAGGTTGAAGACTCCTGGGATAAGTGATCAGTCTGGGTGTTTTGGAGAAGGAGTTCCTCATGCAGAAACGTTTTGCTTTCTCTTTTGTGAGGGGAACTGAAAAGGAAACACTTAGGACCTGAAAGTTTGTGTGTCTGGGCGCATACGCCAGCTGAACAATTCTAGGAGTTGAAGTCCACATTTCTTAGAGTTGCCAAGGTTGAGAAACCATGGGATGAGATGGGATAAAGGACAGGACAGGATAGGATAGAACCTTGGAGGTCTTCTAGTCCAGCCCCCTGTACAGCAGGGCAACCTATAGTATTTCAGATAAGTGACTGTCTCTAGACTCTTCTGAAAAACATCTAGTAATGGAGCACCCACAACTTCTGGTGGCAAGCTGTTCCACTGGTTAATTGTTTTCACTGTCAGGAAATTTCTCCTTAATTTCTAGGTTGCTTCTCTCCTTGATTAGTTTCCATCGGTTGCTTCTTGTTCTGCCTTCAGGTGTTTTGGAGAATAGGTTAAGAGAATAACAGAGTTGGAAGGACCCTTGGAGGTCTTTTAGTCCAACCCACTCCTCCAACAGGAGGTCCTATATCATTCTGGACAAATGGTTGTCAAATCTCTTCTTAAAAAACCCTCCAGTGTTGGACTATCCACAACTTCTTGGAGGCAACCCGTTCCACAGGTTAATTGTTCCTGACAGTGAGAACAGTCAATAAGTGGAAGTTGTGGGTGCTCTATCACTGGAAGCTTTTAAGGAGAAACTGGACAATCATATATCTGAAATGCTATAGGGTTTCCTTCTTGAGCAGGGGGTTCGACTGGATGACCTCCAAGGTCTCTTCCAACTCTATTATTCTACGTTCTATGTTTATCTTCATTGGATGGCTCTCCCTTTTCTCTAGACATGAGTTCCAGTCCTGTTCAGATGGAGCCAGACTTAAACCCCCAGGAGGAGAAGCAGCATCGAAAAAGTAGGTGGCCCCCTCCTGACCCTCTTCCCTGTGAGCAAGTGCTTAAACAAAGGAAGTTGTCCAGGTAAATGACGCACCCCAGGCATGGATAGGTCAAATAGCAGGCCATGTGGCTTATCTTCCATTCAAGCCACTCCCAGCCTGACCTCCTCTGGAGGCTTTGGACTTCAATTCCCATGTTCCCCAACCCGGTTACGTTCAGTGGAGGTGGAGAAGAATCAAAGTGCCGTGTTGTTGTAGAGCTCCAACAAGTGTGGAGATGGAGAAGGCTGCAGATGAGACTTTCTCAGTGGCTTAGCTCCCATATCATCTTAACCAGGTTTATTTTAACCATATATTGTTGAGTAATCCAGTGGCTACATTACTATATCAGGTATGCCACAAAGCTTGGCTTCCAGGCACAATGTCTGGGTTTAACATGCTAGATCCAATGTTTTTATGTTTACAATGAATGAGTGGAAGGGACCCTGGAACTCTTCTAGTCCAGCCTCCTATTCAGCAGGATAATCTATAATATTTCAGGTAAGTGACTGTCCAGTTTCTTCTTAAAAACCTCCTGTGATAGAGCATCCACAACTTCTGGTGGCAAGCTGTTCCACTAGTTAATTGTCCTGACTGTCAGGAAGTTTCTCCTTAATTCCAAGCTGCTCCTCTCCTTGATTAGTTTCCAACCATTGTTTCTTGTCCTACACTCCAATGCTTTGGAGAATAATTTGACCCCCTCTTCTTTGTGGCAGCCCCTCAAATACTGGAAGACTGCTATCATGTCACCCCTAATTCTTCTTTTCTCTAGACTGACCATACCCAAATCCCACAGCCGCTCTTCGTATGTTTTAATCTCCAGGCCTTTGATCATCTTAGTTGTTCTTCTCTGAACATTTTCCAAAGTCTCAACATCTTTTTTTATAGTATGGTGACCAAAATGGGTTGTAGTATTCCATGTGTGGTCTTACTAGGGTTTTATAATGTTGTACTGTATAACATATACAACATATAACATGTATGTTTATTTCTGTTCATGACTTATCTACTAAGTCAATGAGAAGAGCAGTGCAAGCACCAAAGACAATTACTCTTCCTTTCCAGGCACTCCAAGAAGATCTTCACAAGCTCCACGTAAGTCTTTAAACGCCAGCTTTTTTCTGATTCCTCCCAGCAAAACTTGCCAAGTCTTCAAACTTGGCAAGTTTAAGACTGGTGGACTTCAACTCCCAGAATTCCTGAGGTGACATGACTGGAGGAGGAAATCTGGGAGTTGAAGTCCACAAGTCTTAAAGCTGTCAAGTTTGAAGACCCCTGCCCAGGAGTGGGATTCTAATTTCTTAACAACTGGGCATGTGGGCGTGGCTTAATTTGTAGGTGTGGCTTGGTGGTCATGTGACTGGGTGGTCATGGCTTGCTGATTGGGTGTGGCTTGGTGGTCACGTGACTGGATGAGCGTGGCTTGTATGTAAATATTGTAAATATTTGTGTAAATATTGATTTTTTTTATTAAAAAAGAGCAACTTTTACCCAAAACCAGGCAAAGCAGGCAGGCAGATTGAGTTGCTTCCAGAATCACAGATTCACTCAGAGATCTTCCTTTCTGTAATCTGCTACCTGAGTCTGCACTGAAAAAATAGAAGCTTCGGTCCTAAGGAAGGTTCAGCTCTGCTTTTAGATTAGCTAGAAAGCAAAAAGTCCAACAATTTCCTGCTTTCTAGCTAATCTAAATCTCCCGGCACAGCTGATAGTTGGAACAGCTGATGGTCGGGGGGAAAAAGGAAAAATAGCAACTTACCCAAAATTAGGCGAAGGTACAACGCAGACAAGTTGGACGGCACGCATGCCAGGTAAGGAGTGAGTGAGCAGGGGAGGGGAGGAGGGAGGGGGCCAGCCAGTGGCGCGATTTGCTGGTTCTCCGAACTATGCCGAATCGCAACAACCGGTTCTATAGAGCCAGTCTGACCAGGTGGAATCCCATCCCTGTCCCTGCCTCAGCAGGAATCAGTAGCCCAGCTTCTCCTTTTATTCATTTGCTTTAATGTTTGTGTAATGAGTAGGCTGGCCATCTCACAGTCTGCAGAGGCCTTCTCCCTGCTGCAGAAAATGTCATTTTCCACATTTAACAACTGTGGGCATCCCCATGGCCACGTGATCAAAATTCAGACGCTTAGCAACCAACTCATATTTATGACAGTTGCAGTGTCCCAGGGTTACATCATTCCCTTTTTGTGACCTTCTGACAAGCGATGTCGGTGGGGAAGCCGGATTCACTTAACAACCATGTTACTAACTTAAAAATGGCAGTGACTGGCTGAACAGCTGTGGCAAGAAAGATTGTAAAACGGGGTGAAATCCACTTGAACAGGATTGATTGACCGCAGGGTTTTTTGCAACAGAACTATACAGGTCGTCCTTGACTTACAGCAGTTCATTTAGTGACCGTTCAAAGTTACAAAGGCATTGGAAAAGGTGACTTACGACCGTTTTTCACACTTATGACCGTTACAGCATCCCCACGGTCATGCGATTTACATACGGACGCTTCATATTTATGATGGTCGTAGCATCCCGGGGTCATGGGATCATCTTTTGCAAATTTCTGGCAAGCCAAGTCCATGGTTCATTTAACAACCAGGATACTAATATAACAACTGCAGTGATTCACTTAAAGGTGGCAAGAAAAGTCGTAAGAATGAGGCAAAACTCACTTAACAAATGTCTCACTTAGCAACATAAACTCTGGGTTCAATTCTGGTCGTAAGTCGAAGATTACCTGTAGTTCAGAGGTTCTTACTGCTGGGCCCTTGACCCAACATACCCTGGTTTAGCACATCTTTTCCCAAGTCGGGGAATTCTGCCCCACATCAGGACAGCTCCAGGCTCTCGCCTCGTAATCAGGAGGTTGTGAGTTTGATCCTTGGTAGAGGCAGATATTTCTCTCTCTGGTTGCAATGAGAATATATCTGCTGAACAGAACTCTGCATTTTCAACAGGGAGGGCATCCGGCCATTAAAACACTCATCTCCATTCTCCAGACTTCACCCCGCAAGGGATTATGGTGTTGTTAAAAGAAGATAATGATCTGGAAAGCTCCAGGTTCTTAGCAGCCTCCCTCTTAGTCTTAATTCTTTTTTTTTTTCTTTCTTTCTCTCTCTCTCTGAACAGGAGAAGACCTTGACGGCCCTCCAGCCACGTCTTTTAAGCCTCTGTGTCCTGCTAAGCCCTCCCCCAGTTTTCTTGAACTGCCCTCGACTCAGTGGAGGCCCAATCCAGTCCTGCCATACCCCGGGGCTGCACGGACGGGGAAAGGAAAGCCGCATTTTTGTAAGGATAATCCTACATGCAGGGGTGGGACTCAAAAATTGCAGCAACCGGTTCGCTGTCCAGTTGCTGGGTGGGCGTGGCCATGTTGGGCATGGCCTTCCGGTACTTCCGGGAGGGCTGTTTTCCGCCTCCCCAAGGGTCCAGAGGCTTCTCTCGGGTCTCTGGAAGGGCGAAAATGGCCTCCCCCGGGCTCTGGAGGCCCTCCGGAAGCAGGAAACAGGCCAATTTCCAGACTTCTGTTGCTTCCGGAAGGCCCATTCCCCCCCCTTCCCCCCCCCCCCGAGCCTCCATGCAGACCCTGCCCTTACCTGCATCAAAAATGGGTTGCAGGAGACTCTCGCTCAGTTCAACTACTGGTTTGGCGAACCAGATGCAAATTTAACATCCGGTTCTCCCGAACCAGTCTGAACCAGTAGAATCCCACCCCTGCCTACATTATGTATGTGGGTAGCTGAAACCCTGGAACTCAGTGCCAGCCAGCTTGCACCAAGCTAGTCCGGCTTAAAGTTTTATAAGACACACACACAGGTAGTCCTCGACTTACAACGGTTCATTTCGTGACCGTTCAAAGTTAAAGCAACACTGAAAAAAGTGGCTTATGACTATTTTTCACACTTAGGACCGTTGTAGCCTCTCCACGGTCATGTGATCAAGATTCGGGCGCTTGGCAACTGACTCATATTTATGACGAGGGTCCCGGGGTGACGTGATCTCCTTTTGTGACCTTCTGACAAGTAGTCAATGGGGAAGCCAGATTCACTTAACAACCGGCTGACTGACTTAACAACTGCAG